AGTATCTGTAATCATATGGATGTGACTGCACAAACTCTTCTAGACATGCCTAAAATTTGATAAAGACTCTGTATATGTCTTTATACAGTATGTCATTGAACATGTATTAACTAATTCTTTTTGGAACCTATTTTATTAGGTCTGCACTACAAAAAAGACACAACGCTATATGATGCGTAAAACTTATATAGCCTTTTTTAACTTACAAACATTACTTTAAGTATAGAAAAAAAATTCCATGAAGAAGACACTGAATTGCAGCTGTTTAAAATTGTGTTTAATTGTCCTATACATGCATACTCATCAAGGAACTTTATTATTGATGATTTAACTATTGTTTGCCAGCTTCATGTCATTTTGTTTTTCAGATTTGGTGAACTTAATTATATATATAACAGTTTTTAGAACTATTATGCTGCAATTCTAATATTTCCTACTGTAACAATTAATTGTAAAGAGCACTGAAGAGATTCTCACCATGAAGAAACACTTTGTGAGATAAAAACCTGGCTGAAACATAAACAAGGGTGAAGCACAAGCAGCAAACAGCCTTTACTTACATCATATAATTAAATGCAACATGATATACATTGGAAGTCTGTGATTAATTTCCTTAATAAATGTAATACAATTGTTTTTCAAAGAAATAAAAAATAACCCTGTGTTGCTTACGTTTTTAAAATTGCACAGTATGTCCGTATCTTGTAAAATAATTAGATTTTAAAAATCTAATACTGGATACTGTTACTGGAAACAGGTAATCTCACCCACTGATATGTACAGAACTTAAAACTGTGTTTAAGAACTGAATAAGGAGAAAGCGACATTTTAAGGTATTTTTTGTCAAAGATTAATGAGTGCATGTGAAATGTTACAGAAGAGAGAAAGTCATTTGGGTCATCTAGTTTGTTTGGTTTGTAGTAGCTAACTGATTTGTGGATCTTGATCTGCCACTCCTTGAGAGATACCAGGGTATCAGCTCTAACAACATGGCTGGGTAGCTTGTTTCCAGACTCTTGCTACACTTTGTGTAAAAATGTGTTTCCTGTTCTCAGGTTTGAGTGTCCTTACAAATGGAGTCCTATTCAGTTTTACAGACTACACCTCTGTACATTTAAACTTTTATATTTCTACTCAGTGCGTAATCAAATAAATGTAACAAAAGTACCTACACAACTATCCACCTTTTTGACAATGTGGATGGAGACGCACAGGAGTATTGTGATCTTACAGGCACGGGTGTGATCTGAAACTGTTTAAGTGATTTATTGTAGCTAACATTCATTTATTGTGAGGTCTGTGGGTGCCTACTGCAGGTAATGCTTGGCAGCACCTGGTTTACCGAGGTGTGCACAACACAGTAGTTCAGCACAGGGAAGTGGTGAACTGCTGGGGAAAAAAAAAACTTGTTTACGTTGAATCTGGACCCCCTGTGGCCACTGCAATGGCAGCACTCCATGTTCTTATTGATAACTTCTTTTCTGGAATTTTGGAAAAAAATAACAAAAGAGCTGAGGGTAAGGGGAGCTGAATGTCAGACAATAGGCAGTGGCAGTAAAAACAGCATCCACACAGACTTTGAACTTTTCTGTCTCTGAAGGACAATTAATTATGAAGGCCTTTGGGGTAGGTCAGACCAGGGAAGGATAAAGGAAGGGAAAAAAAAGCATTACTAGATTCTTTCTCCACTGATTCCTGTTTGTTAAATGGCTACACCTTTTGTGCCCAGTACCCCGTAGGATATCTGAGGAGCCTCAGATTAAACTGGCTGAGGTACCAGTTTTACATCTTGCTCAATATCCCTTTTTTCACGATTTTCACTACAAATAAATCTACATTCCCATAAATACTCCCCCTCCGATGTGAACTCTAGAGGTTAAAAAAAAGCCCTCTGTCAGGACAAGACTTAAAAAAGGAAGAGGTGCCTTTCAACAAATCAATTCAAGAAAAGAGAAAAAAGAAAAAAACGAAAAACTGAGACTTTTCTTCATTCGATATTAAATAGGGTAACTGATAAGGTCAGACACTTGATACCTAAAGACATGAGTCCATGAACTCTTGAAGTCAAAGGACTTCTCTGTACTTACACTGCAAAGCAACAGTGTTTTTCAAAACCCACGGACATCACAGAGCTCCACAGAATCTCCTTTACATGCAGTTGAGTAAGAGGGAGGGAGGAGGGGGGAAGCCCAGAGTGAGAAAGCTTCACAGAACAGCCTTGAACTATTTTCCAAAGGAAAGATGAGACCCTCCCAAGGCTGTCATAAAATGTCTTTTTATCCCCCACCCCCACCCCCAAAGGCTCTTCTGAACTTGTATGGAGCCAAGGCGCTGCCAGTGAAATCTGGGCAAAATTGTGTTCCATAGCTTTAGCAGGAAAACACAGCGAACAATACAAATAAAATCTCTAATGCACATGCATCTCTGACCGGTCTGTCAATTAATAGAATACAAAAATGGTCAGAGCCTGGGTTTCTGTGTTAAAGATCAAACACAGCTTTAAAAACAAATCGAAGCTCTTCCATTCTCACCGATATTCTTACACCTGCCATAGGCATGCAAGTCTGCGATCTGTTTTAGTTATGTTGAAATAAGTTTCCTTAAAAAGACATTCTAAGCAGTAAGAATTGGTTCATGCTGTGTACCATTTATAAGGTTGAAATGAATATGAATTGTCAAGTTATCAGGTATGTTTGTCTTAAAAAAACTTTTTCTAAGTATACAATTGCTCAAATAATATGGGACTCTTTTATGGGCTCTTTGGAATATGGTTCTAAAATTTATTTAGTTTGTGTCAACTTCTATTTTTTCTGAACAATAATGCTTGCTACTGAGCAGGAACAGCAGTAATTATATGGCAAAATGTCTTACAAGTGGAAACTGAGGAAGCTTGAAAAGGAAAATACTAATAGAGACAGAAAAACGAACGCAGCAAAGGTAATTAATGAACCTGCTTTAATTACCGCTTCTGCTCATTTCGCGATGCGGAATGTGACAATTATGTCATTAAAAGTTTGTAAAGTGGGGAGGGGGGAGGAGGAGACAAATTCAAAGAGGATGAAAGAAGCAAGACAACAGAAGGAAAAAAAAACAACAACAAAGAAATCTCAAAGGAAAAGAAAGCGTATTACTGGTGCACAATGACAGACTAGATTAACATCAAAAGATCAGCAAAACAGAGGACATATTCATTCTAGAGACAGAACCAAGGTGGAGGGAACTTTGATGATGCTAAATTTGGCAAAAGGACAACTTGCTGAATTGGCTAAGGTTCCAGTTTCATGCTTCTGTGTAAGCAATGCTTGACAAGTAGAAGGAGGAAAATTTAGGAAAATGGATCAAAGTATAAATAACCTTTAAAAAAGTTATAATATTCAACACGATGGCTTTCAAAACTAACAGCCTGCAACAAGTGAGCCTCAGAAGAATGAAAATGCAGTCTACTTCATTCTAGCCAACTTGGTTTGTCTAGAAAATTTGCATTGCTTAGCTAATTTTCCTTGTACTAAGTTTCTAATCATCTCTTACATCTATCTGCTCAGACACCTGTAGAGCCTACATGGCCCTGGATATGCAAAATACCTCTTCTAACTTAATTTTACAGCCAACAAAAGTCTTATTCATGTTTTTTTTTTTCTTCTCGGAGCTTGCAAATCCTACATTTATGTATGTAAATAGGGATGATTCTCAAAATATGTTCCTGGTAACAAAGGAAAATGTGTTTGTCTGCACCTACCAGCATATCAACCTTTCTCAGTCTTATTCAAATAACTTTAAGCCAAAGGTCCTAACTAAGGTTTCTGCACAGAAAAACAAGAGCTGTTTTTAAATGCATTAAAAGGGAATTAATTTGGGATGTGTAACCTGGTGTCATTTTCACCAGATATTTGTTAGAAATATAGGCTAAACTTTTTTTTCCCCACAATGCAAGAATGGTTATTACCCATATTTTCTCTTTCTCCATTCATCCATCAGATGAGACAAAGAGTTTAAAAATGTATATGATGCATCAAGATGCAGTGAGACTGCAGATTTGTGAAAAAGGTGCTTATGAGCAGGATGTGGACTAAATAACAATAATACATGTAAAAGTGAGTAATATTTATATATTTTTATACAACAAATGTCTGATGCATGGTGTTTTAGCTAGTATAGTGCATTTTTACATTTTTTTCGCTACTCAAATGTCAAAATGAAATGTATTTAGAATGAAAATGAATCTAAAATAAAAAGAACTGAACTGAAGCTTGAGACATTTGCTTAAAATAATGTACACAGTATGTGTCCTATAGATTTAAAATAAATTAGGGGTAAGGATTATTGCACTACTTAAAGAAAAGCCTTTTCAAAACAATCTAGTAAAGAAATATAAAGTACTAGCAGGCAGAAGGATTTATTTTTAAAAGGAGAAAGATTCTGAAGGTTTAAGCTGCAGAAGATGTATCTGTAACACATTCATAGTTTGCATTCTGCTACACAACATAAGTTCTACTTCTTTCTTCCTTGCTGCCCTGAGTAAATCTGTAAATACTTGGAGTATTTTACTATCAGAAAACTAGGGCTGTGATTTTACATGATCATTACAGACGTCATTAGTAAGAGAAACAACAGGTCTTTGTTCTTTGGCTCTTGGATTAATCTTTATATATGGGTCTGATAAAAAGTCAAATAAATGAAAAGGAATTTGAGATACAATAAAATGTATATTTAAGTAAATTATCCCTCATCTAATTAAGGTCAAAATGTGACAAGTGAACTTTCTTTTATTCTTGATAATTCAAGCATATACAGTTTTAAAACAAAAGTTACAACAGTTAAAGTGATATCCAATGTGATCTGATTTAAAACAAAAATGTTTTATCATTTTAAGTAATTCAGAGGGATAAAGAAAACAGAGAATTTAAAGTAGGTCTCATATACAGTAAATGAATGGATAATATGGACTTCTTTTCGGCAAAAAATCACAGTACTTCTGCATGAAAAACCAGATAAGGTCCTACCTCAAAGTCATTTGCTTTGTTGTAGTGCATGTTCAGGGCCCGATACAGCTCACAGTCCCTGCTGACATGCAGTTCCTCTGAGCCTGTGACGCCATCGTTGATAGCCTGCCTGGCAAATTTCTCCATCTGAATGTAGTAGAACTCTCGAAAGTTGCTGAACCACTTGATGAGCTGGGAAGTGATGCACCTGTTGAACTATTTAGAAAGAATCAAACCGTTAACACTCACTGGAGAAAAAAAAAAGATTGGCAAGCTTCAGCAAAGTAAATGAAAGCACACAGTACAAACACAAAACGTAAGTGAGGATTAAAGCGTGTTATGTGGGATACAAGCCTCATACATTTGGAAATTAAATTACAAGGGAGCCCCTGTTGCTTATTGTACTCAAAGGGCCAGTTACTTGTACAGTTTCAGCCTTTCTCAGAAGCCAGGTTTTGGATAATATTGGTTTTATTAATTTTAGTTTAAAAGCGTACATTTTATCTTCAGAGCCTTGTCACATTAAAATAAGCCCTTCCCCAAGCAGTGGATTTGTCCAATTCTGCCTAAATATTTTCATGTGTTAAATATGAATATCTGCCTCCTGTATACAGTATATATCAGGTCTTGGATGACACACAAGGTCAGGCTTCCAAATACTGCTGTGTTTGTGTCTGCACCATCCTGTGCTTGGTGTTGTCACACTCATATTACCAGTGATTCAAACCTAACATTAATGTCATGATTCTATTATATTTGCAGACTTTCCATTTTGTCGGTAATGTTAATCCAGGTTTAGGTTCTTACATTATTACTGAGCTTTAAGTATTTTTTTAATTACTAAGGGTTTAAGATAGACTCAGCACCCCACTTAGTTTGGGGAAGATATGTGGAGTACAGACCAAGGGCTGAAGTTAACATGTACAGTAACTGCAGTTACATCACGTTCTTTTGTCAAACACTTCATTGTGAATATCTTCGCAATTCAAGTTAGTCTTAAAAGGGACTGTGGTCAATTACAGTTCATCAGTTATTTTTTTGGAAAATACAACAGTAAGGGCACTCAGATGCGTGGTTTTAAAATATTTCCAAAGCAGTTTGCATTCCTGCTTCAGGTTTGGTGACCACTATCTGTAGCTTATGTACTTGCTTCTTCTATGGTGGCAAAGTTATTGCTCACCCGGCATGGGCATGCTTGCCAGCTTTGTGCTCTTTGACCCTGTCAAGAGACTTCTGTGACAGCAGCATGTGCTATAGCCTTCAGCAGAAAGGACTAGTGAGTACTCATAGGACAGCTGAGTTACATTTAGCCTAGCTAAAACCAATAAATCCAAAAGGCTTTATGTTGGCTGGTCTGACGTACAACCTCCTGTCTTTTGTAATTGCGGGTATTCATCAACCACCACCACCGCCCCCCCCCCTTCCCACCCCCTTTGCCAGGAAAAAAAAGAGGGGTGTGCATTAATCAAAAATCAACAGCAAGCACTTATCTAGGACTGGTCATGAGAACATACAGGCCCCAGTTAAGATGACAGCTAGAGTGAATGTGGAGAGAAGGGGGAGACTGAAGGGGGGGGGTGTCTGTTGGGGGG